CGTGGAGCCTGTCAGCGTAGCGCAGGAGCAGGTACAGGACGGCCACGAGCGCCGGGACCGTGGGCGAGGCCTTGCCGCTGTGGCCCCAATACCTGGCCGCTTGTCGTCGCCGGCGTCGTTCTGGTCCTCCCTCCTCATGCCACGAGTCAACATTTCGCAGCCCACAGCCTGAAGTTGACGTTGCGAAGCGCGGGCTTGGCCCATACCAGGCGTTCAGGTGAGAGTGATTAGTCCCACCAGGCCTCTGGGCGTGGGTGGCTTAGCGAGTGAAATCCTCTAGCCTCCCTCTTTCGTCTGGGGAATGGTTGATCACTGCTCAAAGCTTGATTGGACAAGAACGGGAAGCGCCGCTTTAGTCCAACGGGCGTATTGGGCGAAGAAGAAGAAAAGGAAGGCGAGGGCAAAGAGGAGGCGATGACGAAGACGGCGTGGAGAACGTGAGGATAGCGAGGAGGAGCAAGAGCAACGAGGAGGAAGAGAAGCACACGGACGAGGATGAAGAGAACGAGGGCGAGTACGAGGAGGAACGCGGAGGACGACGACGACGACGGAGGACAGTAAAAGGCAATTGGAGAAGGATGTTGAATCAGGAGAGGGTCCTGGTGACCCTATCGGGCTACCCTGGGGGCTCCTGGCGACGCGCGGGCCGTCTTGGGGCCTGCTCTGGGTTTCTTGGGGGCCTCTTGGGTCTTCTTGCGAGCTGCTGGGGTCTTCTTGGGCTGTCTGGGCGCGTCGTGGGGTTCTTTGGGAGCTTTCTTGAGCCGTCTCGGCGCCATCTTGGGCCGTCTTGGGGTCCTCTTGGCCCGCCTTGGGCCGTCTTGGGTTTCTTGCGAGCTGTCAGGGTGCCTCCTGGAGGGCTCTTGGAGGTCTTTTGGGGTCCTCTTGAGGCGCTCTTGGGCACTCTTGGGGCCCTCTGGGTCGTCTCTTGGGCCTCCTTTAGGCCGTTCGAAAGCCCTCCGGGAGCGATTCGAAGACGATGTCGATTCGGAGTCCCCTCCGGGCCCGATTTTCTGAGGATGTCTCGAGCGAAACGGCCACTGTTCAGAAACCTGACCGGACAAGAGCGGGAAACGTTTTTGTGTCTACGAAGCCTGATGGAACGTTTCGTCAAAAACTCTTGAGAAAAACACGGCTGATCTGATGGCTATTCGTGTGCGTCGCTGGGGTAATATTTTGCGCGAGCTGTATCTACGATGTGCCCATGTGGCAAGACCAAAACCTGTGCGCCGCCCCCCCCCCCCTCTCGGAACGGGGCGAACTGAAACGACGGCAACTCAAATTCGGTCCCGGACCCCAAGGTCCAGACGCACAGTTTTCCCGAGCTGCGTCCAGCCGCGGCGACGAGGGGACCCCCGAAGGCCGACCACCGCTGCCTCAACGCGCCCTCCTCTGACACTCTCTGCGACCCCCTCCCGGACTTCGGGGCGCTCGCGAGGCGCCCGCAGTCGGACGAGTCGCACGGGTAGGCCGCGTACTCAGGCAGCCCCGCCGCCGTGAACCTGAAGGACGCGATGGCGAGGTCGTCCGCCTCCCGGGGGGGGGCGGCAAGGAGGGGAGCGGCCAAGAGGGGGGGTCGCAAATGATGGCCCGAGGCATGTGGGCGGGCGAAGCGGGGACCAAAGAACGCATTGAAACAAGGAAAGCTGCCGCGAGATGTGGGGAGATGTCATGGCCCTGGCCACGATATCACGCCCCCAGTCATCTCTCTCTCTTGGCCGCCCCCGATCCCGGGCGCGCGCTCGCCAACCCCGCGCGCACGCGGGCCCTGGCCGGGCAAGCCCCCCGGGCCCGAGGAGCGATGGGTGCGCCTCCGCGTCCAGGCCAGTAGCGCGCACCCGCCCGACACCCTCCAGAGGAGTTCGAAAAAGATATCCACTACTCGTCCAGGAGAGCCCTCGTCGCCACTGCTCCTCGAAATCAAGGACAGAATGCACCCCGAGAAAAGGTCCGTGGCGTATCGCTATCGATACCATTTTGCCCCCCCAGCCCTGGGCCCAATACTTGCCGGCCCGCCCAGGACTGCCCCATGGACAGACTGTGCGCAGGTCCGGTGGACCTCAGAACGTGGGTCATCGCAAGCGTGTGATCGAGGCCCTTCACCACGATGCAGGCGGTGCAGTGAGGGCCGACACAGGCTGCATGCTTTCCGTGGAGCTCGCTGGGCAGACACACTGGGTTAACACGTCCTGAGGATCATCGACAGGTCTGGAAAGTTGATGTTCCCCTGCCAGCGCCTCGAGGGGGTCGTCCCCCCAGCCAGGCCCACCCGCGGACGCTTCCGCCAGCTTGCGCTCCACCGCGTCGAGCACCCTGCCCATGAACCTCCGCGCGCGCGGCGCGAGGCCCGACGCCGACCGCCGCGCCAGCGCGCGGAGCTCCGCGGGGCCGGGGCGGCCCCCGCCGCCCAGGCGCACCAGGCTGTGGGCCATGGCCGCCAGGAAGCTCGCCGCGAAGAACGTGTGCTCCTCGCAGCGGCCGCCGTGCGCCACCGCCGCCGCCCTGGGGCCCTGGGGCCCCGGGCCCTGGCGCGGCGTGCACGGCCTCCTCGGCGTCGCGGCGGCGCGGCCCCGCCGACGGGCTGGTGCCCTGCAGGCGGAGGGCGTGCCGCTCCGCGGCGCGGGGCGGGAGGCCGGGAGGAGCTCGGGGCGCTGACGCCCGTGGGCCGGGACGTGGCTCGCGCGAAACGCGCCGGAGCGCGGTGGGGGCGGGCCAGAACTGGCGGCGCGACACGCTGAGCCAGAGCTCCAGACCCCTTGCCGCAGCACTCGACGAGGACGGGTATGTTCGCGTTCCCTCCGATGGGGCAGCGCCGTTGCCCACCCTGGAGGACCAAGAACCGTCAGAATGCAGGTTCGACCTACGTTCTGAGAGCTTTGCAATTACATCTTGGATACGGGGTGCCTGTTCGCATCTAGAATGGACGTGCGACTCTGGACATGCAAATTGCTGATCCTCTGGGGCCATCCCAGGGCCCCAACGCCCAGGGCGGCCCTGCCCGTGCACGGCGGTGGTGCGTGGCTGCCTCCTGTGGGGCTCCGTCGCGTACTGGACGGAGGCGGACTCCATCGCGGCGCGCGTGAGCCACCGCAGCCCGCTGGAGTTCGTGCACCCAAGGAGGCGCCGGCTCTCCGCGGAGTCCGCCCGCTCCACCTTTCGGCGGCGAGGGGCTCTGCATGAGAGGCCCCGCACGGCCTGTGGAGAAAGAGGGAGAGAGACGGAGGGAGAGGGAATGAGAGGGTTGAGAGGGACAGAGAGAGAGAGAGAGAGAAAGAAAGAGAGACGAACATGCACGACGCACGAATCACGAATCACGAAATTCGAGTCGCAACCCACGGACCGCGAACCACGAACAGTGAACCGCAAACCGTGAGCCATGGTACACGAACCACCGACGACGAATCACGGGTCGCGACACTATGGACGACTGAACCTTACGCACCGCGAGTCACTCAAACCACCACTGACCGTCACGAGCCACGAACCGCGACCCCCACCACGAGCCAAGAACCGCGAGGAACCACGATGCGTGCAGCGAGCCACGAACCACCACGATCCCTGGATCACGAACCACCGAGAATCGCTACGAACCACGGGGCTCTCCACGAAGCGTGAACATGCGTGAACCACGAGCCACGCGGCGCACACCACGAACCGCGAACCATCGCTCGGAGGCCACCCCGAGACGCGTGCGGACCGCCCCCCCGGAGCAGGGCCACAAGACCGAAGCAGAACGAAGCAGAGCGGAGCAGAGCAGCAGGCACGCGCAGAGCAGCACCAATCCGCCCAACGCACCCCTCTGGACACGTGCCCGCGTCAGTCGTGCCTGAGGAGAGCGCAGCACAGCATGGCATGGCACGACCCCTGGCCCAGGACCAGGGGCCACGCCCCGAACCACGCGCCTCTCAGAGGGGAAGCTGGGGACGACCTCCTGGACCATCGCACCCTATCCCACGCGTGCCCAGAAGGGACCCTTTTCGGCACTCGCTGCTTCGGGGCAGGGGCCGCCGTTGCCGACGGTCCCTGATAGTGTGGCCAAGAGTCTTGAGACCCCGAGGGTTGGCCACCTTGTTGGCTTAGTAAGGTGGTGGCCTCGTTTGCTTGTGGACCAGATGGTGCTGGCAGGTCGCCCCGCATGGGTCACTATGAAAAACAACAGTGCGGTGGCCGCGGTTAAACACACCACCAATGTTACCAGGGGGTCGCTCAGCGATGTGGGGCGTAAGCCCTCGTGCGCTCCAGTAGTTGTTGTGCGCGCGAAGCACCGACACCTAGAGCCCTGAATAATATGACTGTCAGGATTTGGAAATTTGGAATACTGAACCCTGCAGTGTCGGCTTCAAAGCGTGCAATCTCGAAGCGTGCCAGCGTCTGGTCGATCCGTTCTCCCTCATGGACGCGAAACTCAATGAGAGCCGTCCCCGAATTCCGTGGTCTTTCATCTTCAACATGCTCGAACTTAGTGCTGAGGAGGAACATTATATAGGTGGCCCCATGGGTGTGGCGCCCACCAATGTTCACTCCAAAGTTGATTACTGCTGGTGGGACTCTCATGGCAATGGTCCTTGCGAGACCTCCAAGGCCACGTTGTAGAACAGCGGCCTGTTGGGAGGGAGTCGTAGTAACTGTGGCCACGTCGATCCAGGCATGTACTTCGCGAGCGATTTCGCGGAAAAGCGCGTTACCGGCAGGGTCCCAGTGGGGGCCGGTACTGCGCGCGTCGTCTGCACCGCGTTGCATATGTCCAACAGCACATCCGATGGCGGCCCAAAGGAGGCCAAATATAGTGATGCCAATCCAGTGGCCTCGTAGGTCGGTGTCGGTTGCAGGTGGCTGTTGTTTGTGGGGTGGCGCTGCCGTCGCGATATCAGAACGCATGTTACCATGCATGGTATCATATGGTATCATCGAAGAAATTGCCGATTGGCGGCGTTGGTGGGTGGACTTTAGGGGTGTAGTAGCGCAGACATGTAAGGTTCAGGTAGGAAGCCTCTGCGTGAGCAGAAGCTTCAGTGCAAATGTCCTTGCGATGGCCATGGTCTCCTCCGCGTAGAGCCACTGCGCCCTGATGGTCCACCATATCAGTAGTCCACCAGATAGCGCCGTGGATCGTAAGGGGTAGAGCTAGAGCTGACCACCAACGGCCAGCTCCGCTACCAAGTTTAAAGCCAGTTGGGAGACCCAACCGGATACTACACCTTAGGCGTAGTTTACGTCCAACCCTGTTGTGTCTCTTAACGATAGCGCCAAATGTAGAAGATGGCCGCGTGAGCGGCGAGGGAACATCTCAAGATTGAAGGGTGGAACCTTTTCTGTCTCGATGTCAGATAGCGGGCCGCGGTGCGACCCGGTCAAATTGGCGGCCAGTCGGTTGAGCCCAAGCGGCGGCGGACAAACGCTCGACACCTCTCGCCTTTGCCCTTCCTCCTTCAGAGTCCTCAAGCGCGAACAGCAGATAGAAGTGCTTCTTGCAATCGAGCATCGTCGAAGGCACAATGCACGAAGTGTCGCACCCTGAAAAGTGCAGCAATGGTTGGTGTGAAAGAGAGAACTGCAAGCCCAAACGAAACAACACCCGCACACCCAGACACACCTACTGCCAATAACTTTTGCTTAGCGTGTCGCGGCAGCGGCCCTGGCGACATGCCATGCCGTGCAAGCTGATAGCGTGTCGCTTCGCTCCGCGGAGCGGGACGCTGGAAAAAGCTAGGGATGTTGACGCTTGGGGACCCAGGGCGTGGTCAGCATGTCACGCCGCAACGTGGTGGACAAAAACCGGCGGCGCGACACAGTAAGCAAACGTTCCTGACTCTGAATCCCAGACCTTCGATGCCCTGATTTTTTCAAACGCGGGGTCCCCAACCACTCCCCTGGGACAGATTTTTCGTCCCGTCTCGTTTTTTGCATGTCCCAGGGCCCCGCCAAGGCCCTGGACGCTGAAAACAATCTGAAAACAGCGAAAAGCGTTCGTCTTGTTTTTTTCGATACGCATGCGTTCCTGACCGCAGTCCTCGACGCCCTCCTCCTCGACACCACGCCGATCTCGACGGTCCCGCCTGTATCCGCCGGGCCCCTGGCAGTACCAGCGTGCAGGCCCGCCCGGAGGCCCTGGTGCTCCAGCACGTGATCCCGCCACACAGCGCAGCGCCGTAGTGCTCGCACTGCTCCTCCGCCTCGCGCTGGCGATGACAGCGGCGGCGGCGGCGACGACGGTAATCACAGTAAGAACGACGACGACGGGGGACGAACGACGACGAACAACGAACGACGAACAACGAACGACGAACGACGAACGACGACGACGACGACGACGACGAGCGGAAAAAAACGACGACGAAGACGACGACGACGAACACAACGACGACGACTTCCTGGAGGCCCTTTGTCGCTATGGCTGTGTCCGCTTCAGAGTCCTGGTCAGGGCGCACCCTTGGAGAGGTCTGGGTATCGATTTTGAAGGCCGAGGCGGCTGACGACGGCGGCGACGACGACCACGTCGACGACGGTGGCGACGGCGATGACAACCACGAAAACGACGGCGGCGACGGCGACGGCAGCGACCACGACGACGTCCGCGGCGACCACGACAACGTCGACGACCGCGACCACGACGACCGCAACGACGGCAACAGTGGCGACGACTGCGAGGGCGCCACCGGCGACGACGACGACCGCGACCACGACGACTACCACGACGACCACGATGACGACGACCGCGACGTCAACAATGACGACGACGGTGGTGCGAAACGGCGGCCTCCCGCTCCGACTTGAAGGGCGATGCGAGCTGGACCGGGTACGGCTCGAGCACGATGCCCTCGCCGCCTTCGCACTTGGCACAACGTTATCGTCGTGGTCGTGGTGCTCGTGGGTGGCAGTCGTTGTGGTGGTCCTCCTCCTCCTCCTCCTCCTCCTCGTCCTCCTCCTCCTCGTCCTCCTCGTCCTCCACATCATCATCATCATCATCCTGCTGCTGCTGTTGCTGCTCTTTCTCCTCATCCTCCTCCTCATCGTCATCATCATCAACATTATCATCATCATCAACATCATCATCGCCATCATCCTCATCATCGTCATCACCGCCATCACCGTCAGCACATTCAGCATGCTCATCATCAGCGTCATCATCTCCACTACCATCACCATCACCATCACCACCACCATCACCATCACCGTCACCATCAACAACGATGTCAACATTCATCATCGTCGCCATCATCACCACCAACATCATCAGCACCCTCACCCTGGTCATCATCATCATCATGATCATCATCATCATTATCATCATCATCATCACAATCATTGCTCGTTGCCATCATCATCAGCACCATCATCAACAGCATCAACAACAGCATCATCATCAGCGTTACCATCATCGTTACCATCATCATCCCCATCACCATCCCCATCATCATAACCATCGTGACGCTTACCCTGGCCAAGAGACCCTTTTGTGTGTCTCGTGCCAGGCGGGTCCGACGAACAGGATGGTTCCCGGGCGGCGCCGGGCAAAACGAGAGAAAGAGATAGGGACGAGCGACACAGACACACACACACAACACAGCACACACACAAGCAAGCGAACGAGGAAGAGAGAGAGAGAGAGAGAGAGAGACGACCCCCAAGAAAGGGAGGTAGCGGCGGGCACAAAAAAAGGCTTGATCCGCGGCGGTCGCAAGCTCGGCGCTCGCAACCACGCGGCCCTCATACGCTCTACGATTGCAATTCACGAACCACCCATCGTGACGCTTGCCCTGGCCAGGAGACCCTTTTGTGTGTCTCGGGCCAGGCGGGCCTGACGAACAGGATGGTTCCCGGGCTGCCCTCGGCAGGGCGAGAGAAGAGAGAGGGGCGAGCGACACAGACACGCACAGCACAACGCACACAAGCGAACGAGGAGGAGAGAGAGAAGACCCCTAAGCACCCCGAGCGGGCTTCTGGCACTGGCCGCCTTTAGTATAAAGAAATGACCTGTTTAAGTCTGCACAATCGGTATGCATCGATACCACGCCTCACAGCCGGGGCAAAACAAAAACAAAACCGAGGAGGAGAAAGGCTCGGCAGCGCGAATCCAAAGTTTGCCCGAGCTCTGATCCACTCCCGCCAGGACGATGCGGGGCTTCATGGAATGACTGCAGACCCCCCCCCCGTGACCAAGAGCAGGAAGCTGCGCGGAGAAGCTGGGAGCCCAAACTTGCCCCCTGGTCCTCCTGCGCCAACGGGCCCCGAAACCGCAGTTGTCCACTGCGCAGGCCTGGCTAGAAGAGTGACGAGCCAGACGCTCGACAGGAGAGGCCTTCCACAACCAGCTGGGCCCTGGATTCTCGAGGGCAGCTGGGGCGCCGACCCGGAAGCAGCCCCGGATCACCCGCAAACAGAAACGTAATTAGTGAATAGATGGATTCGGTTTGTGTTCGGGATTCGTTTTTTTTTTTTTCCCTTTGTATGGGGCCAAGGGACTAGGCGGACAGCGACGACGACGACGACGACGAGGGCGACGAGGACGAGGGGGAGGAGGAAGAAAACGACGACGAGGGGGTGGAGGGCCAGCACCCACATCCGCCCTATCGGCCCAAGGCAAGATCAAGGGCAGAAAAACGAAACGCATCGGAGTCACATTTTGGCATAATCTTGGGGTCGTCAGCTCGGGTTTGAAAGGGGTCATCTTAGGGCAATATCGAAGTCGTCTTGGGCTCGTGCAGGTGTTGTTGAAAATAACGACCATCTTGTGTCTACGTGCATCCACGGATGTGTGTTCCTCTCCTCGCTTTGCGTTTTGCCCAGCACGCTTGAAACACTGGCCGTCGGGAATATCGTCGTCAGCACCCCCACCACCATCGTCAGCATCATCCTCCACCCTTCCCCTCCCCTCCCCCTCCCCCGGTAGTGCAAAGCTGAATCGAGGCCCCTCGTCGCCGCTGCACGAGGTCAGCTTTGCAGATTTGGGGGAAGGGGGGGAAGGGGGCAGGGAAAGGGGGGGGGGGGAGGAGGGAGGAGGAGCGGGGGGGAGGGGGGAGGAGATGGAGAGGGGGGGGGGATATGGCGACAATGGCGGCTCTGACGATGCCGATAGCGATGGCGACGACGATGGCGATCCGGAGGATGAGGATCAGGGGGGTCAGGATCACAAGAAGGAAGAGGCGGAGGAGGCGATCAATGTAGACCACGAACACGTGGATGAGGAAGGGGATGTTGGTTAGGGTGCGGATGGTGACCAAGAGGCGGTGGATGATGATGACGACGATGATGATGACGACGATGTTGATGATGGTTATGGTGATGATGGTGCTGATGATTGAAAGGCATCCATTTTTGGGATGCCCCTCAATCCATTTCTGCACGGATGAAGGGGGTGAGGAAGGGGAGGTTGGTGAGGGTGCGGAGGGTAACGAAGAAGAGCAAGCTGATGACGAGGGGCATAAATTTTTGGATGCCCCGCAATCCACCCCTGCACGGATGAGGGTGTGAGGGGAGGGATGCTGGTCAGGGTGCGGGTGGTAACCAAGAGGAGGTTGATGCTGATGACGACGATGATGATGACGATGATGCTTATGATGGTTGTGGTGACGATGATGATGATGATGATGACGATGATGTCCATTGAGGGGCACCCCAGTGACGATGACGATGATGGTGATGATGATGATGGTGGTGGTGGTGATGATGATGATGATGACGGTGGCGATGACTATGAGGATGCTGATGCGTGCGGATGGTGGCGAAGAAAATGTGGATCAAGATGAGGAGAAGGAGGCTTACGATGCGGATCAAGATGTGGATCAAGATGAGGATTAAGAGGAGCACGAGCGAGAGGAGGATGGAGGACGGACGAGGGAGGCAGGAAAAGGGGAGGCGGGAGAGGGAAGCGGAGACGGGAGCGCGAGGGAAAACTAAATTTTTACACGCTGCCATCCCTTTCTAGGGAATGTGGGCCGCCGTGCATCGACGGGACCGCGCAGTGAATCTGCATTTTTACATGGGGGGTGCGTACAGCCAAGACGCTGAAATAAGGAATACTTTGGATTCGGAAGGGGCTCGATGTTCCTCACGTCCTTCCGCGGTTGTTTCTCTAGCCCTTCTCGTGCGCCCGGGCTTTTTTGAAGCCGCAGAGGGGTTTCGTTCCTTATTTAGCGTTCCTTCTTTCAACAGCCCGAGTGCAGCGGGGCCGAGCAGTGAATCTGCATTCTTCTTGGGGGGTGCGTTCGAACCGCATCATATAGAGTATGATTTGGCAAGTCTTCTCCGAGGAGCGTGGATTATCACAACTCCCCTTGTCATCGTCGCCACCCGTCTGTCACTGCTTAGTTTCGGAGCGCATCCTGCGGCGTGCTTCTGGCATGCGCTGGCGCGCCCCCGGAGCAGATGTGAGAACGCATGGATCACGCATGGGATGATCATGTCTTCTCGCATCCAGCGCTCGCCGTTCGCATCATAGGCAGGGCAATCGTCGCCACTACGAGGGGCCTCTCGCGCTGCATCTGGCGAGACTTGCAACCAGGGCGCGGCCGAGCGCAAGGTAGTGTGCGAGGCGAAAACCTGCGCGCAGAAAACTTCGCGCGTCGCGCGTCGAAGGGCGCATGCGTTGACCGGCCGCAAAAAAAAGGGCTCCAGCGGCCCGCTGTCGCGAAACATCTTAGAGACAACGCAATCGACCATGGCATAAATTATGTCGATGGTCGCTATTATGAACAACGCCGGTGGGGTCGCCCCAGGGCCACATAACATCGGGGTCACGCGGTAGCCCTAGTTCAGTTGGAAGACTATGGGTTAGTCTCGGTTTTCTCTTGGGGCCGCGGGGTCGCTCTGGGGTCATAATGGGGCCATTGCTTAGCAGGGGTGGGCATCTTGGGGCGACAAGGGTAATTTCGTGATCCTCTCAAAACCCTGTTGGGTCCATCTTGTTATCGTCTTTCCGTTGCTGCCTCTCTGATTGCTGTTGCTACTGATGCTGCTGTTGTTGCTGGCGTCGATGCTGCTGGTGCTGCCTGGGCTGCCCGCGGTGCTGATGCTGGTGCTGCGTAACAGAAATCTGGCCCTCTCGGGGCCATATTGGGGCCCTCGCGGGGGCCCCCCGGGCCTCTCGGGGCCCTGCGGGAATCCCCTGACGGCCCTTAAGAGGCTTCCGAGGGCCAAGCATTCAACGCGCATTTAACACAAACCGCCTCCTTATTGGAGAGCGTCTTGTTAAACTCGCGTTGAAAAGTTGGGTTTTCTTGGAGCCTTCTTGGGGCCCTCGCCCTCTCGGAGCCCTCGGGGGGCCCTGAGAGGCCTCCAAGAGGGCCAATAATGAAGCGAACATGTAGGACGAACGGCCTCCATAATGGAGAGCGCATTGTGTCGCTTTTGTGTTAAATGCTCGGGTCCTCTTAGAAAAGCCACTCAATGCCCAATCGAGAGACTCAATAAGGCCCCGGGAGAAGTGTTCTAAGCTTGGGGGGTCACCATGCATCCGCTCATTGTGCAACTGATTCCTCTTGCGGGGCTCGGCTCGAGGTTCGGGGGGCGTTCGGGGGGGTTCCAGCCTGAGGTGTCCAACGACTTCGCGTGGGCTTCGCTCCGATCGCGATGGCGCTGCTCCGAGGCGGCTCCGAGACGGCCCCAGAGCGCTCCACGACGCTCACAAGTCAGGACGGCCAAAAGAGATCCTGCAGACGCCCCCGGGGGGCTCCAAGAGGACCCCCAAGAGGCCCAAACCGCAATTGCTCAATTGTCTTTTGAAGGATTTTAGCGTTCTCGCTTTTTCGGGGTTCTGGTCCCCGCATCTGGGACTCAGCGCCGCCTTGAGGCTATCGTCAGCGGATCGTGAACGCCAATGGCAGTCGTCGGTGGATCACTGTCGCCCGGTAACTTTATGTTCCCCATTTTGACATGCAGGACAACATTCGCGCGCCTCCCAAACTCAGGCATTGATCTCCGTTCAACACTTCTGGCGCGAGCGGAGCGCTATTGAAGAAGCGCCCGGGTACGACCACGCGGCTTCCCAACAAGTTGGCGGCGCCCCATCTGGCGCCGGAGCTCTGCCCCATGAGCTTTTTCATGATGAGCGGGCCCTGGTTGACAGGCAGGGTATCACCTGTTGGACCTCGCGTTTCCCGGGCGCTGTCTGGAAATTGCACGCGCCGTTGGAGGCCCTCGAAATTGTCGGCCAGAACATCTGCTCGATCAGCTGCGTCTCCCAGAGTTCCGTCTGGGCGCTGCATCGTCGCGCGCTTGGGGCATTGCGGTTCCCGGAGACATCAAAATGCACATCGTCCCCTCCTTTCATAAGACGCCCGAGCCATGATTCGCGATCTTGCGCGCCAGACTCCCAGATTGCCTCATGCGAGTGATTCTCTGCGTTGTGGCCCCAAGCTCTGCGCGCCACTCTTCTCTGCTTGATCAGTGCCAGAGCGCGCCTGCTTGTCCGCGCCAGTCCCGGCGCCGTTCCTCGCGCGGGCGCCGTCGTTTCACGAGCCATATTGGATTCGGCTGTTGAGAACGTCTACAGAATCAGCGCCATCTCGCGAATCGCCGCCCGGCGTGAAAGTCTTCGAGGACCGCCGTGTCCGCGCGCTTCTTCGCCGAGGGCCCGCGGCGCCCGAAACCGCGTTCGAGTCGGCGACGGCAAGGTAACGACGCGAGTTCAGAACGCCCAGTCGACGCGCCCAGGTGCCCCGCGAGGCGCGCGACGCGCGGCAGCGGCCGAGCGCGAGATCCATATGTACAAACTCACGGCCAAATATGCCGCTGTCTGTCGACGTCCGCACCTCTGCGCGGCGCTCTCACGATGCCTGGGCGGCCGCGGCGTGTGTTCGCCACTTGCAAATCGCAGCGCGCGCGTAATTCCACTGAGAGGCGCCCGTCTGAAGCGGCGCCGCGGGCCGCGTTCTGCGGGGCGTCCGCGCGCTGAAAAACGCGAAGGCCGATGGTGCATTGCTCGCCGGCTCTGGCCCGTGCGAGTCTAGCGCCCAGACCCCCCGCGGCGCGCGTCGCGCCGTTCGCAGTGGTGGCCCAGATATGCGCCTGAAGACCCACGTAGAAAGAGCGCCGCTCCTCGCGCGGGCGACGGTTGCGCGGTGCGCGCGCAGATAGAAGCGCAAGCGTACCGCGTCTAACCTTCGCGCTGAGGGGTGCCATTCTGGGGGGGGGGCGCGCTTCGAAGGCCACTGTGCTCTTCATTGGCCTCGGCCACGTCCTAGATCCAACGCTGGGGCGCGAGTGGGCATCCACGCCCAGCTCGCCCGACGAGAAAATCGTAGAGCCATTCCGCTCGTAGTATTGGGCCCCGTGCAAGCGCGTCTCTTGCGCGCGTGAAACGTCCGCTTCACGCGCGCGCGCGCTACGTTAACAATTTCGTCGATCTCGACGATGGGGCCACCGCGTAATCCGCCGAAGCAGCACGCGCCCGCGCGCCCAGGGCAGGGGGGGGGTCAGGCAGTCCGAGGTCTACCCGAAGAGTAATTGGCAGAGGGCGATGTTTCACGAGGCCCTCCGTCTCTTTGTCCACGAGGATGGCCAGGAGTAGGTAGAAGACTATGGTGTGGAGCAGCGCCATGATGCAATCATGGCGGCGCGACCGCTCTACGCTGCGCGACGGTGTTTCGCGCCCGCGTTCGCGGCGGCTGCGGTGGAATCTCTGCCCGCAGTAGCGGTGGGAATCTATGCGAGATCGTCTGGGCTGGCACTGGGGGCCAGCCTTGTTTCGATCTGTCTTTGGAACCTCCATTTGGCGCGCTTCCACGCCCCCGGAGGCCCGCCCCAGAAGCGCGGCATTCTTCGAGGGGGCCGCGGTCAGCTGGGGAGGTTGTTGAAATTACCCCCAGAGTTCCCAAGCGCGCGACCCGCCCGCGCCCGCTGAAAGGGCAGCAGCGCCGCCCGCGGATGCGAGAAACGGCGAACCGTTGGTGGTGATCTGCATCTGGCACTTGTTGGTCAGCTCGCTCTTGAGAAAGCGCTTCGATCCAAAAAGCGCGTTCCGGGCCGCGCAGAATGAAGGCGACGCGTCTTGAACGACCCAGATCGCGGCCCCTCCGCGGTCGAGGCTCGCACTCCGTAGCGAGCCAACCGCGATGTCTCGATCGGCTTCGCCGCCGAATACCACGAAACATGTATCGGAATCAGCTTTTGAATCTACGTCAATCGTAGGTGCCGATAACGAAGAAAGCACATCTTTGATCCATGTAGAAGCTGCTGAGAAATTAATCAAAGCCAACCGAGTCCCCGATTGCTGTTGTGAGATTCCGCTGTGCCTCTCCTAAAGCGTTTGATTGTTTTTGATATTGTCCGTTGCCTGCCACCTCTAGCTCCTGTGCCTAGGCCGCCCGCGTTTTGAAATTCGCTCAGGGGGGTGGCCGCGGCGTCGGACCATTCGGTGGCTCGATTCTCAAGGTTGGTCAAGCGGATGGCGATGTCCTCGGTGTTCTCCTCCACTTCCTCGATCCTGGCGTCGATGGTCCCGCTCATCTCGCTGAACCGACGTTCGTGGTTGTTGATGGTATTCCGGATAGGTTGCACCTCCTTGCGAATCACGTTCGCGATTGGATCCGAAGTACGTGGACGCGGATATGGTTGCTTTTGTTGTACAGGTCCTCCTGCTGCTGGAAGTGCCTCTGGCGGAATCGTGTGTGTTGCAACTGCGTGTGCTTCAAGTCCGTGGTCGCCGCTCGTGTCGCTCGGTGGGCTGAACGGGCGTCCGCGTAAAATGCTCTCCCTCCCGACACCCGCTGGCGTACCTCGGGCGCGGGTGTGTGTGCGCGTGAAAGGCCACCACGTTCGGCGACCGATGGACAAGCGCTCGAAGCCATGGCCCTGAGGAGGGGCAAAAGACGAGTAAACGATACGTAAGGGTGGGCAGTGAGGCTTAGACTTAGAGGGCACTGCCTTGGCAAAGTTCTTGGGTTTTCAACAACACCGCGTTCAGGAAACGCTCTTCCGGAATTTGGTCACCGAGCCAACGACCCCGCCGATAACGATCGCGGGAGCGCCGAGCAGGGCGGCTCGTCGGGCGGCGAATCCCACTGAACGAGCGGCGCGCGGCGCGCTGGACAGGAGCTGGCGGGGGCGGCGCTGTGCGCCGCGGCGGCGACGGCAGCAGCGTGGTCTGCCGGTGGGTGCGGGCGTGAGACTTGGTCGCGATTCCCCTGGAAATGTTGATGCTGTTGCAGTGGCGCGCAGGGGGGGCTGCGAACGCGAGCCTGGGCGGCGGCGCTGGCCCGGGCGCTGGCGCGGGCGCGGGCGCGAGCGCTCGCCGCGCACCCGATCGGCCGAGGGCCTCGCAGAGGCGCCGTGCGGTGCGTAGCAAGAGAGGGCGGCGCAGCCGCAGTGGTTGAACGCGGCCCTTCACTCCACTCACCGGCTTTGGAGGACGGGCGACATCGCCTATTGCACAGCCTGCGGCTACTTCGCCGAGGGCGCGTGCGTCGTGAAGCTGCGCGACCTCTGCTGCCGCGGTGCTTCGGGCTGCCAGGTCGAGGCCCCGAAGCCGCTGCGAGGGGGCATCCGCCCTCTACCCCACGAAGGGCGGCGGCGAGCCGTTGGGTCGGCCCCGGCCGCTGGCACGAGCGAGGCGCGCCGAGGCCGAGGAGCCGCGGTCTCGCTCGCGGCCGCCCGAGGACACAGAAGCTGAGCGCTGACGGGCGGACCCGCGCTGGGCCGCCGCGGCCGCTGCCCACGTTCGTCATCGTCGGCGACGCCGCGTGCTCTCAGTGAGTGTGGCCTGGAGGTTAGCAGCGCTCGCCGTCCAGGGGGTCGTGGATCGTCGTCGTCTTCGTCGTCGTTCACGTCGTCGTCGTCGCCGCCGCCGCCGCCGCCACCGCCGCCGCCGCCGCCGCCGTCGTCGTCGTCGTCGTCGTCGTTGTCGTCGTCGTCGTCATGCTTTCCCTGCCCAATCCTCTCTGCCTCCGCCTCCCCCTCCGTTATCCTTCCTCCGTCCTCCGTCGTCCTCCGTCGTTCTCCTCCTCCTCCTCCTCCTTTTCCTCCTCCTCCTCCTCCTCCTCCTCCTCCTCATCATCATCATCAGCATCAGCATCAGCATCAGCATCAGCATCATTATACTTATTATCACCATCATCATCATCAGCAGTATATCCTCCCTGCCCGCTCCTCTCTCCTCCACCTCCTCCTGCCGTTCCTCTCGCCTCCTCCTCCTCCTCCTCCTCCTTCTTCTTCTCCTCCCTGCCCCTCCTTCCTCCGTCCTCCTCCTGTTCCTCCTCCTTCCTTCATTATCCTCCTCCTCCTTCCTTTCCTTTTCCTTTTCCTTTTCCTTTTCCTTTTCCTTTTCCTTTTCATCCTCCTCCTCCTCCTCCTCCTGGCTCCTCTCCCGCTCAAGACGGCCCCTCGAGACCCAATGGCCGGCCAAGAAGACGTCAAAACGGTCCAAGAAGGCGCCAAGACGGCCGAAGAGGGCACCAATGGACCCGCAAGACTGCCCCACGGGTGGCCACGACAGCCCCAAGACGGCCCAAATAAGCACCATGAGAGCTCTTCAAGAGGTCGGGACGAGACGTGCCACATGCGACGGCCTTCTGGGCAGTGACCGAAAGGTCACGACACGGAGTGCTTCGCCGGCACGGTGGCGGATTCGCCGCGAGATACATAGGACGACGGGAGTGATGACGACAAACCTCGCCTCAGAATGGGCGCATCCGCTTGAGAGCAACCCGTGGCTGGAAAATCAACAGAGTAACTAACGAAAACCTGTGAAATGATCGAATCTCGGACCCCTGGACCCACTCTCCGAACCCAGGCTGGCCACATCGACCTGCCCTCAGCCGTGGCCACGGGAGCGCCCCAAAAACACCCCCCAAAAAAGAGCGCAACAGGTCGAAATCGGCGTCGGCGGTGCCAATCGGCAGTGTCCCCTCGCCCCTGGCAGATCGCCGCTGTTCTGGGGGTCGAGCCCCCAGTCCGAAGGAGAAAAGCCTCCAGGGTGGAGGGAAGAGGGCCTTCAGACTGACTGTCTTCGATCCTCCATGCACCCCCCGCCCCCGCGGCGCCTTCGTCGGCGGCAGTGGACCACTCGCACGCCTCCTCGCGGGGCTCCCCTCTCTCCTCCTCCTCCTCCTCCTCTTCCTCCTCCTCCTCCTCCTCCTCCTCCTCCTCTTCTTCCTCCTCCTCCTCCTCCTCCTCCTCCTCCTCTTCCTCCTTCTCCTCCTCTTCCTCCTCCTCCTCCTCTTCCTCCTCCTCCGCCTCCTGCCATTCCTCCTGGCATTCCTCCTCCTCCTTCTCTTCCTCCTCCTCCTCCTCTTCTTCCTCCTCCTCCTCTTCCTCCTCCTCCGCCTCCTGCCATTCCTCGTGGCACTCCTCCTCCTCCTCCTCCTCCTCCTCCTTTTCGTTCTTCTCCTCGTCATCCTTCTCCTCCTCCTCCGCCTCCTCCTCCTCTTCCTCATCCTCCTCCTGCCTGATATTCCTCCTCCACTATCAAACCCCATCGCCCCACATAATTATTTGCGCATCCTGTTCCCTTGCTGCTCCCCCTCCTCCTCCTCCTCCTCCTCCTCCTCCTCCTCCTCCTCTCCTCCTCCTCCTCCTCTTCCCCTCCGCCTCTTCCTTCTCTCCCTCCTCCTCCTCCTCCTCCTCCTCCTCCTCCTCTCCTCCTCCTCCTCCTCCTCCTCCTCCTCCTCCTCCTCCTCCTCCTCCTCCTCCTCGTCCTCCCCCCCCGCCTCCTGCCATTCCTCCTGGCATTCCTCCTCCTCCTCCTCTTTTTCCTCCTTCTCGTCCTTCTCCTCGTCCTCCTTCTCCTCCTCCTCCTCCTCCCCCTCCTCCTCCTCCTCCTCCTCCTCCTCCTCCTCCTCCTCCTCGTCCTCCTCCTCCTTTTCCTCTTCCTCCTCCTCCTCCTCCGTCGCCGCCTCCTCCTCCTCCTCTTCCTCCTCTTCCTCCTCTTCCCCCTCCTCCTCGATATTCATTATCCGATTCCTTCTCCTCGTTATCCTTTTCCCTCCTCCTCATCATCACCATCTCCATTATCACAACCACCACCAGCACCATCAGCACCAGCATCAACACCATCAACACCATCAGCATCATCAACAACATCATCAACAGCATCAACATCATAATCACCATCATCTTCATAATCATCAACGTCATCAGCATCAGCATCAGCATCAGCATCATCATCATCATCATCATCATCATCATCATCATCATCATCATCATCATCATCATCATCATCATCAGTATCCCCATCACCATCATCTTCACCAGCAGCATCATCACAACCACCATCATCAGCATCATCACGATCTGTATCATCACCAGCAACATCAAAACCATCATCAGCAGCATCAGATAATCACTCCTCCCTCCTGAGGCATTCCTCTTGTTCGTCCTTATCGCTCCTCGGACCCCCTCCTCCTGATTAATGTTTCTCCTCGCCACTTCTCCCTAATATTCTGCTTCCTCCTCATCTATCTTCCTGTCCCTCCTCCTGTTCTTCCTGCAGATCATCATTTCTCTTCTCTTTCTCCTCCTCCTGCTCATCTCACTCCATCCCCCTCCTCCTCCTCGCTCCTCGCACTTCACACCTCGTGGTCCTCGTCCTCCCTTTCCTCCTCTTCCTCCTCGTCCCCGTCCTCGTTGTTCTCCTGGTCTTCGTCCTCGGCCTCGTCGCACTGCTCCTTTTCCTCCTGCTCCTCTTCCTTCTTATGCTCCTCGTCGTCGTTCCGTTTCCGAACGGCTTGGGACGTGCGCGCGCGGGGACAAACATGCATGGCGGAGCAAAAAAAGGAAAGGGCGACCGTGGCCGTGAACTCGGCTGGCGAAGACCGCGCGTGAACGCCACCCCCTGGCACGACGCAGACCGCGTTTTGACGTGGACAGAGCTCCGTTGCAGAACGGTGCAGTGCAGTTGTTGGGGGCGCCCCTCCGAGTGACATTTGTGGCCGTGATCTCTGGGCGCGTAGAGCCCACGCCAACGTGCTTATACTGGGCCGCGGCGAAAGAGCGCAAGAGGGCGACGAGCGCTGGGCGTAGAAGCCAGCGAATCTTGACCTTCAAGCAGGGGGCTTGCCAGCATGAGCCGTCGTCCGCCGCAGGGCCGAGAACGAGGCCGAGGTCAACCAGGGTGCTGACCGCCTGGGTGGGTGAGAAGAACGGGGCCGCGACCGCGAGGGCGTCCTGGACGGAACTCACCACTTGAGGCGAGGAGCTTCAATCTGCCGAGCTCGAGGGAGAACGTCGCGACGGCAGCCGCAATCTGCATGGCGCCCGCGCGAATGCCGAGGGAACGGAGGGAGCGAACGACGCAGCCAATGTCGTCGGCGCACGCCCTCGCGAAGCCGAGACGGGGCGCCTTCAGGCGGCTCTGCAGGTCGAAGAGGAAGCACGACGCGACAGCAGCACATATCGACCCACTGAGAGAGCAGCCTTGCACAATGCCAGAGGAGACCCACCAGGCACGCGCGGGGAAGCCTTGAGCATGGCGACGGCCTCCAGGATGAGGCGCAGCTGGTCCAGAACGGAAAGGAAAGCGAAGGGGGCACCTATCTGCGCGAACACCGTGCGCATGAACTCCTGGTAGAGGCCCAGGAAGGCCGCGCCAAAGTCCACTGCCGCCAGGGCAAGCGCATCTCGGCTAGCCGACGGCAGGTTCGAGTAGACGCGCGAGGCCGCGTCGAGCTAGAGGATGTTGACGCCGAAGTGGCGAGAGGGGATGCACCCGCGCTGCGATCGAGGGGCCCAGTCGACAAGCAGCCTGCCTAGCTGCAAGTTGATCGTCGCGCTGATCAGCTTGACGTCGGTCTTCCGCAGCCCCGGGGCCGAAACAAGTCCTGCCGCCCGACAACATCCAGCGGAGAGGGCCCTCGGCCTCATCCCCCTTTGGGGGGCCAAACCTGCAGGGTTACGCTGGATTGTTGAAGAGGGCCTGGCCGCGCATGGCTCGCATCAAAACTTCCGACAGCACCGCGAGGCCCGCCTCCGAGGCAGCCCATGCAGAGTACAGGATAGAGGCGAGGCCGGACTCGGAGTAATGCATTTTGGCGGCCAGCTGCCGCAGGAGCGCCGGCGAGGGCGGGGAAACTTCGTCGAAGTCGAGCTTGGGCACGTGCTGCGAGATGCAGGCCTGAGCGATGTCGATGGGTGTGGAGGAGAAGACAGGAGCCCAATGCTCGATGAGCCTCTCGGTCACGACGGCTTCCTCGGTCACGATATCAGAGGCATCCGGAGAGACCTTAACCCCGCGAAGAACAAGGCGACGGTTCAGAGGGAACCACTTTGCAGACTTGCGCTCGATGACTGACAGCTGATTCTCCAGGATGCGCGAGGTACGCGGTCGAGCAAGAGCCGCTTCAGCTTGAGCTCTCGGCGCAGTGTAATTGAACCCCCATCGCACCAACGTTGGAAAGAAATGGCGCGCTGCAGCTCGACGCCGCGCTCCGCGATGATGAGAAAGTCGTGGGCCGCGCGGTGGGATCACCGAAATGCGCGGGCCAAGTCGACGTCGTTGCGCCGCGCAGCGCGAGCAGTCTGCCTGGCAAGCAGTGGCCAGGCGAACAGGAAAAGCGGGATGATGGACTCGGGGTCCGCGATGAAGGCCCTGTCGCGCACTTCCCTGGCCGCCTCTAGAATCACCCACTTGTGAAGCTCATGTGCGTCGGCGGCGACAGCGACGCGTAGTCGAGCTGAGAGGAGACGTCGCGCAGCAGCCTCTGGAAGTGAGGACTCGAAGATGTGCCGAGGGATCCTCTGAGCGCCACGCGGCTTGAGACGCCGCTGAGTGAACTTCACCCCGTGTGCTGCGTGGTCGCTGATGAGCCTGTCGGCAAGGACCTCAAACGCGTCAGTGACCGTGGGCTCCGACGCGAGCTGCGCGAGAACCCAGCCAAGCCAACTCACCCACAAACTATCGAGAATCGACGCGGAACGGGAGCGCCTGTCGTAATGAGTCGGCTCCTCGGACGTAGTCTCCGCGAAGTGGCGAAGAGCGCGAAGCCGTCGCGAAGCGCGAGCATGCTGACCCTTGCTTCCGCAAGAGGCCGACCAGGTTGGTGAAGCAGGAGAGGGGCTCGAGGAGAAAACTTGAAGCCGCCGCGCACCACGGCGAGCCCGTGGAGTGGGTCGCGCTGAGCAGCAGCAAGGTCCGCCTCCATAGCAGAGAAGATCCGCCGCAGCTGCTTGTGGCGGAGGTCGTGGTTGCGTACGTTGCAATGAATCAAAATCGCCTCACCCGTGCGAGGGGCCACTCGTAGCGCGCGCCAAGGGGCAAGAACAGGAGGCTGAGCAAAGGCCGAACACCCCTCGGGAATAATAGTCGCCACGCCACCCTTGGCTGCAGATCCCGCGCGGTAGCTGGCGCGCGCGCGATGCCCAGTCGGGGCCTTGGCTAGAAGTCTTGCAGTTGAGCTTGATCCTGGCGCGGCTCTGAAGACGCGCAATGCCCCTCGTGAGGTCGAGCCTCTTGGCGTAGCTGGGCTTGACCTTGTCGCGCGCCTCTTGGCACCGCGGCGGCGCCCTGGTGTTCCGCGAGGTGAAGGGCAAGGAGGGCGCGCCTATCATAGGCCCATGAAGTAGCACTGCGAACGGGTCAAATACTCCACTCGGCCATCTCTGGGGGAGCGACGATAGCCTTTGCAGCGGCGGCGAGCGCCGCCTTGTCGAGGCCCAGCTCGACGACAGCGTTGTCGGCCCATGATCGCTCGGTCGCGACGTTGCCGGGCTGCGGGGGAAGGCGGGGGACTGGGCCCCATCCAGCCACGAGGCAGCCGCGGTCGCGATCGAAGAACGACCTCTTGCTGCTGTCGACGTCGCGGAATGCATCCCTGAGCTTGCGGCCATGGATCTCCATCTTGATTTGGCGAGGGTTCTAGTCAGCGCCAATGCGAAGCGGGTGCGCCGAGCCGTCGGCGCAGACCGCCTCGAAGCGACGCCGCTGCCCTGGGGCCAGGCGCTGAGCGCCGAGGACCTTGGCCGCCCGGCGGGCGGCAGGGGCGGCAGCGCCCGTGAACTGAACCGCCAAACTTGCCGACTTGGATGGGAGACCAAATGTCGAAGCAGTCGGCCTGCGCACCGACTGAGGCGATCCAGTCGGACAGCACCTGGTCGACTGCATCAAGGATGGCAAGCTTCGCCGACGCCGCTCGAATCACGGTGGCGTCGCCATCGCGCCCGAAGCCCGCGGCGGTGATGAGCGGCTGCTTCGGCTGGGTATTTGCCGAGCTCCTGGCCCTGATCCCGCGGCGCGCTGATGGGGGCGTCGTGCTCGGAGACCTTGGTGTCGAGGACTCGCAGCTGGACGGTCTGCCCGTCGAACTGCTCCTGGAATCGCCTTGCGATGGTGCCCGGCTTGTCGACGATCCGTCTGCCCGCGACGCCCAGCGCGAGGCGGCCCGAGGGCCCGCAGCGGCTGGGCAGCTCGCTGCGAGGATCGGAATGTGACGAAACCTTGCGAGCTGGCCGCGGACCAGCGGCATCCGCGGGCCCCCCCGAGGAACTCACGGCCTTGGGCCAAAATGGCTAGAGAAGGAAGAGGTGGAGGAGAGGGGGGGGTGGAGGGGCGCCAATACCTCCTGAGACCACGGGCCCCTGGGCACTCAACGCCTCGTGGCTTTCAGCCGGCGAGAGTGCCGAACCGATCCAGGCAGGGGCGGAATGATCGAATATGTGTTTGGCGCGCTGGCTAATGCCTCTTCGAGGGCACCAAGTTGCTGCGCAGAATTAGAAAGTGCCCGTCTTGATGCGAGGCCGTATGTTTAACGACGTGGTGCACAGTAAAATTGGAAGCCCAAGCGAACATTGCATTTGCTCGGGCGATGTCACACGCGGGAGATCGCACAGAGAGTCCACGCCCGAGACGGAGGAGGGGTCGCGGAGAAACGACGGCACGGGGACGACACATGAGGCAAGTGCAGCGGGAGCACTTCAAATAATATGCCACGCTATCGCGGCGGAGCGCAAGAGACGCTCGGCTCCATAAAGCGCGTGCGACGTGAAATCGGCCCGCGGTGGTCCATCCCGCCGAGATCGTCTCAAGGTGCGACCAGCGAGCGCTCGGTGGGGCCCAGCGCGTGATATCCCGCGCCAGGTCCTATCTCGCTCTCATGTTCTGAAGGGTGACAGTCGAACCACGATCGCGCGCGACGCTCGAGCTTATCGGGGTAAGCGAAAGTCGTGGGAGTACTGCGCGCACGCGGAGTCCTTGCGGCGCGGGCCGACGACCCTCCGGGGCGGCCTCTCGCACTGCGCTTCGCGGGCGGCCCTCGGCGAGGCGAAGCAGCTTAGGGGGGGGGGGGGGGGGGCGACGTTGGCGCGGCGGAGCAAAGCTGCTCAGAGTACTGAGAATATCGTCTGGCGACGCTGCCAACGCGGAGCACGCCAGCCACCCTGATTGGGGTCGACTGCCCCAAGGCCCCCGGCAGCACGAGGCCTCCGCGGCGCCCCTTAGACGGCGGCGATGGAGCCCATAGGCAGTCGCGCGCCATTGAAGCGCCGCGCAAGGCGCAAGCCAGGGCCGTGGACGAGAGCGAAACGGGCATGGTGGAGGGGGGCCGCGAGCCAAAAGAGAGCAGCTCAGAGAGGGCAAAGGAATTGGGCGGCAGGCGCAAGGCATTGCGCAGGCCCCGCAGCTCTTTCTCCCCCGTGGCGTCGCTGACGGGGTGAAGCTGCACCGCGTGCGACGCGCGGAACAAAACCGACGAGTTGCACAGCGCGGCCGCGACGTCGGCGGGCAAGGCAAGATCACCGAACTCAACGCACCTGCTGCGCCATTTCTGAAACGGGACAGCCCATCCAATCGAGAGTCGCCGCTGGAGCCTGGAGGGCCCCGATATATTTAGCTTGCGGAGCGATCGGAAATTGGGGCCAACCTGGGGCCCGCAGAGGGCGCTCAGCCTGGACCGCAGATTTGACCTCGCCTGTAAGCTCAGCTCAAGGGAACGATCACGCACCTGGGCCTGCAGAGATAACGCAATAATTTTCTGCCGCTGGAGACAATGGGGCGAAAGGGCTCGGGTCGTCTGCAAGGCTGCCGACGTCGCCCGCGCAAGATCCGAGAGAACCGAGCCGGCGGGGGGCTCCCGAGAGAGGAAGTGGAGAAAGGGGTCGAGTCCAACTGCCCGCAAAGCGTGGGCTTCGAGTGCCAGCTACCCTAGCAGAAGTGCAAGGGCACTCTCATACCCCATGTCGCAACCACGCAGGAGACCAAACGTCGACCACGTTCGTTTCGCAGGCAGCGGCGCCAAACCGAAAAAAAATCTTCCACGCGGAGCCACCGCGTCTGATATTTCAGACCAGGGGAATCTGAAATTCAGACCGGGTCAATCTGGATTTCAAACCAGGCTAATCTGAATTTCAAACTGGGTCAATCTGAATAATTCATGCGCAGAAATCTCAGGCAGAGCGCCTCGCCCGACCCCCCAGGGAGGGCAATCTGAACTTCAGACAGGGGCAATCTGAACTTCATGCAGGGGCAATCTGAACCTCAGACGTGGGGAGCGCCGCCCAAAACCAACATGTGTCATGATTTCTCTCCGCGATCAACCTTTGGCCAAAGAAATGCACTACCCCGTCGTGCCCGCGACCGCGCGCCGACGCACATGTCGCGCGAGCTCGACAATCGCGCGCGCGTGCGTCGACGCCGAGCGCGCCGGCGCGTCTGCGCAGACTGCGAAATACCCGAGCACCAGAGCTCGTTTGAATAGTTTGATCTTGGGGGTGTCTGGTGATCATGAGGTAGCGTTGACATAGCCTTCCGCGTGGGAATATATCCCGGCCGCGGCGGGCTGGCAACAACTGGATAGCTCTCCGCGGCCGTGGGGCCCATCGAAGCGATGCTACATTCTGTGTCCATGAGAAGCATGTGTTTGGTGAAATCCGGCCACGAGACGAGGCCTTGCTGCGCCTCGCTGGTGGCCGACTCAGCCGCGCGCCTGAGATTCCAGCTGGCGGCCGAGGAAATGGCCTTCGAGTCCCGGCTCTTGAGGTCCAGCGGCCTGGTCTGCGCCGTTTGGCGGGCGCAATCCGAAGTCGCCGCGGCCCTCCTCGGGCGAGCCCTTTCGACCGGAAAGCAAAACCGCTGGCGTTCAGGCCGGGCGCCGCGATCGAGCCCTCGAACAGCTTCAGCATCGCCGGGTTGACGTTGTCCGCTGCGCGGGGGCACGGGGGCCGCGCCTCCGCGGGTGGCCCGTCAGGCCCTAGCGCGGACAACCTCGCCCGGCGAAAAGCGGCGCGCAACTGCTCCATACTGAGGATCGCGAGGTCCGCGGGCGGCGCGGCGGGCATCGCGCGGGCTCCTCGATCGCAGCTGCGTCGGCCTCTGTGTCCCGGAAGACGGGGGCCCAATGTTTCGCTGGGGCGTCGGCGACGTCGCTAGGTTGCCGCGCGACGGAGCCGTCGGGGCCTCCGGAATGGATACGCAGGCCGTCCTGGATGAAGCGCTGACGAAAGAGGGCCCGCAGGGCTGCGCTCCCGCGCGCCGTCGCCTCCTGGCGCTGTAGCACGTCGATGTGATCGGGGCCCTCGTTCTGCTGGCCCCCCCGCGCGGCCTGCCTTACCTGGCGCTGATCTCAGCGCCAATTCAAGTTGTGATAATTGTTCTCGAAGTTGGTCGCGTCGACGAGGCGGGCGGCGGCGGGCGATGGAAAGGCAGAGCTGCGGTTTCAGACTCCCGTTCGGGGCCTTCTGGGGGGGTTCCCCGGGCGTCATTTCCGACGACCTCGAGGCGGCGTTGCCCAAATTCCGCGTCGCGAATCAGGCGCGGGGCGATCCGGCGACCCTGGCGCCGCGCCGTTCGTGCCATGCCGCGCGCGGCGGGCCCCCGCGACTCGAGCGCCTTGGGGGGGCCCCTCTCGGTGCCCAGGGGGGACTTGGAGAGCGCGTTCCGGGCGGGCAGGGCTGCTTCCTCCATCGCGCGCTTCGTCTTCGAGAGCAGCTGTTCGGGGCCAGGGGCAAGTCCAGGGGGCCCATCGAGGTGCCCGGCGTCGGGGCGTACATCGGGCCCTTGAAGATGTGCCGCTGGGCGATCTGTTCGTCTCGCCCGACGGCAATCCGCGGCAGCGAGCGCAAGACCGCGGCTGCGTGATCACTCGGGCGCCAATCGGCACAGTTGATAGCCCCTCGGCGCACGCCGAAATCACAAAGAAGCTGCCAGAGGTTTTGGGCGGGCGAGGAATCGAGGGCCCGATTGAAGCGCGTGGCCGTCTCAGCTGCCATCGTGTAGCGAGTTGGCATCTCGCTCGTGACCTCAACCATCTGGTCGTCGAACATGTCCTGTCACTGCCGAGGGTGTTGCATGTGCCGCGAAGCAGCGCGGGTGGCCCGTCCAGCCCAGGGGCAAACCTGTGAGGCGATGGTGGCGGCGTTCGAGTTGAAGTCCCCGACGGCGACGAGAGCGAGACCCTCGACCAGCCTGGCCGCTCAGCGTGCGCCATAATTCATAATGCCGCGCGCCCGCGGCCCGCGCCGGCCGCTGCTGGAAGAGGTCGAAGATGTGGACGCTCATGATGCGCAAGGCATTGCCCGTGGCAAGACGTTTAGTGGACAAGTTGAACTCGGCCAGGCACGATGGCGCGATGCGATCCTGCAGTTGCTGCGGATGGTCAGCAAGAAGGCGCAGCTGCGATGGCGCCTGAGCTAGAAAGCGGGACTAAACCGCCACGCTGCCAAAGCCAGCAGGCTAACCGTCGTCGCGGACAAAGGCGGCCGAGAAATGGATGTGGTGGCTCGACGTGAACAGCTTCCGAGTCTCCTCCAGGACTTGATGAGATTCTCGAACCTCTTGCAGACGCATGATATCCTGCTGTCTGGGGAAGTGGGCGAGGCGGCGAAGGTGTCTCATGCGACGACGTTTGCGAGAACAGAGGAGCGAACCAGCACTCCAAAAGGCAGCCTGCAAACCGACGGCAGCACGAGAGGCCGCCGATGCGATGGCCCAGAGGCGCCAACGATCGTCAAAGATGGCATGCAGAAGTATCAGCCTCTCCAGTGAAGATAGCGGCGATTTGCGGCCAAGATAGCGTGTAGCTTCTTGGACTGAATATCGCGGCGAATATCCTGCGGTGATTTGTCACCGCTGACGTAGATGGGCTGGGGCTGGTCATCAGAGCTGTTGTCGTGGAAATCGCGCCAACGGCCGCCCACCTTCGGTTGCGGATGGGAGCCAGGGCGCGCGCGGGAGCCTCCGCACCCCTGGCGATCTGGATGTTGAAGCGCTTCTTCGGGGCGTCGCTGCCAATGACCGAGAGGCAGGCGATGCCGACTCCAGCATCGCAGAATCACGGCGTGAGGGCGGTATTGAGGTCGGCCCTCGTGAAGGTCGACGGCATGCCGCACGAGAAAACCGTGGACTCGGGCGGGAGATCCCACCCCGCGAGCTGCTGCAGCGTGAAGGCGGGGATTTTTGACTCGGCCATCGAGAGAATTTCCTCCATATGTTTGACAGATTTCCTGATTTTTGACTCCTTTTCAAGCGTGTTGGACTGCTCGCGGTGGACGTGGAGCTGCCTCGTGAGCCCCGACTGCTTCTGATGTGCTGGTGCCAACTGTGACTGTATCGACTGGGTGATGCCCGCCTGTAGCGACTCCTGCATGGACTGGATGCTGGTCGTGACCAACCTCGAGAGAAGCGCCGGCATATTGGCCTCGATGGAGGCCGGGGGCGCTCCGAACAGGTTGGCCACGAGACGTTGGATCAGATCCTCGAGCGACGGCGGTGTGTCCATTCCTCAAATTGGCGTGCCAGCGGCGGGGGCGACAACAGCCGCGGGGGCAGCAGCGCCAACGGCATCGACCGGTTGAGACGAGAACGTAGCGAACTACGAGGCGCTGGCCGCCGCGTGCTGGACCTGTGAGCTGCAGCGGAACTGGGGGCGCCTCCAGCCCATGGGTCACTGGGCCCCCAGGGGGTCGGCTCCACGACCATCTGCCCGAGGCTCGGCGCGACGCCCACCTCCACGACGATCGCGCTCCCGTTCGCCAGCTCGGCGCTCGTCACGGTCACCTCCACGACGCTCATTATGGCGGTGAAATTGGCGTGGTGATGGCCGACGCTACGATTACGAACTGCCACTGCGGCTGTGCCTGGCAATGCCACCGTCGCTATGGCCGCTGTCAGAAGAGCCGTCCATCGCATGCGGGTGCTCCAGCAGGGGGTTACAGGTGTACGCTGGCGGAGCGTGGGGCGGACCGCGCTGGATTTTGCCTGGGCCCGACCAGGCGGAAACTGGAAACAAACTCGGGGAACAGAGCTATTTTGTTTTGGGACGGAGGCGCGGAGCCCCCACGTACAGAAGTCTTGAGCCAAAATGGCTACGGAGGGAGGAGGAGGAGGAGGAGGAGGAGGAGGAGGAGGAGGAGGAGGAGGAGGAGGAGGAGGAGGAGGAGGTGGAAAAGGAGGAAGAGGAGGAGAAGGAGGAGGAGGAGGAGAAGAGGAGTCCGAGGAGTCCGAGGAGGAGCAGCAGCAGAATGGTAATGATGGAGTTGGGAGGAGGGAGGAGTGCGAGGAGGGAAGGCGGATGGATGTGGATGGCGGAAGACTTCCCTTCCTTCCATCCATCCCTTCCCCTTCCTCCCTCCTTCATCCCCCCATGCCTCCCGCGTCTTTCTTCCCAACTCTCCTTCTTCCCCGCTGCTCCCTTCCGGCCCTCCATCCTGCTCGTCTCCAACTCCTCTTCTTCTCGCGGAGATCTTCAAAGCCCCGCCCAGCCCCGCACCGGGGGGCAAGGTATGAGAAGGGGTAGGAGGCGTCCGATGTGGGTCGAAGCTGCGGGAACAGGAGTGTAAGGCACGGGATCACAGGAAGGAGCAGGGAAGCCATAACCAAAACAACAGGTGGCGGGCGCATCAGCGCCATGAGCCAATGAGCATGCCCCGCAGCCAACGGATGGTATCAAAAAACATATGCGTGCCTAGAAAGTGTCGAGCGAAGATGTTTCGGATCGGCGCTGGACCCCCACAGGGCGCTCCGCGCGTCAGGGAGGGAGGTCCACCGCCGACCTGCATATGATCTTCGAATGCCCCGAAGCCTGCCCTGAGATCCGACGTTGCAGAAAAATGCAGCATCGCGAGAAAGCAAGACCGCATCCATCAACTCCGTCTTTCTGCGGCATTTTTCGAGCTGTACCGATCTGTGATGGCCCCCGGGCTCGAAACAGGGCGGACACGCCCGGGAGGAGACCAGGGGATGAGAGGCGACACGAGAGGGAGACGTCACACTTCGCCCCAGCGCTCTGGTGCCCTCCGGCGTCCTGGGTGCCTAATTCACGGCGCTCCCCCCGGCGTCGCACCCCTGCGCGCCGCCTGGGGGCGGAGCCGTAGGCCGTAGGGCACTCGCTGTCGCCCCGGCGGCTGCAATGAGGGCGGATAGCTCAGGGGGGGCATTACACATGGAGTAGGCACATACGATCAGAAGTCTTGGGGTACACGTTTCGCCGGATCTCTCAGGGCCAATGGGTGCCCCAGAGCTTCCGTGGGTCCCTAGGGCCACTGGGGGATGCCAAACTTCTGTGAGGCTCCTGCTGGCCAGCCAATCCTTCTTTGACGTGCCTTCTATATATCCAGGCGCTCCACGATCGCCCACGTCTTCGACAAGGCTGCCCGGCGAACGCCGCGTGTGATGCCCACCCCTGCGCTATCCCCGCCTCTCTGTGCCTCCGATGATGCGGTCGGAAACTTTTGCTCGGCGTGTCGCCCCGGCAGTTCTGGCGACACAACCTGCAAGGGACAGTGACCCTGGGAAAAGCTCGGGACATTGACATTGACGCGGGACAGCGCACCGCGCCGAGGCGTGGTGCACCAGGACTGGAGAGGCGACACGCTATCCAAAAGCTCCCGACCGTAGCTGCCGATGCACGCGCGGCACTCAGCCCGCGCCACGCACGAGACTCCCGCCCGCGCCCTCCGCCCTGGCGCCCTTCGGACCGCCTGCCCTGTGCCCTGGCAGGCCGGCCCCCGGCCGCGCGCGCCGCCACACCCCCAGCGGGCGCGCGCTGCCACGGCCGAGGCGCAGCCGCCGCGCGGCGAACCCGCCCGCGCGCTCCCTCCGCTCCCGAGCATCGTTTAACTGAACACTGCAGTCATCGTGCTACCACAAAAGGACTCTTCTGGCCACGGCGAGCCTCTGCCACGGAGAGAATCCCCGACCTAGGTCTGAGAAATGACCCGAAAACCAGAGCCCCTCCCGAGCCCAATGTCGTCCCTGTCTCAGAATCTTGACTGTATCCCCACTGGCGTGGCCTTGGCCCCACTGGCCGCCTTGCCCACCTAGGTGTGGACAGATGCTTGCTCCGTGGGGTTTCGCGGGGCTGACCCCCACTTGGTAGGGCTGAGATGGCATGGCCCAGTGGGGATGGGGGTCGGTTAGACGATGCTGGGGTCCTGCGGCGTGCGCGCCTACGCCTCGAGACCTCGCAGCCACCCCTGACACCGCCGCAGCGCCGCGGCCCGATATGCCGCCCGCTCGGCCGCAACGCGCAGCCGCTCGTGCTCGGCCTTCAGCGCCGCGGCCTGCCCTCCGCCGAGGCCCTCGCCGCGCGCCGCCTCGTCGATGAGGCGGCCAGTGAAGGCCGCCTGCGCGACGAGCGCGAGCCCCACGGCCTTGCCCGCCACGGCCGTGCGGAGCCTGCGGAAGCCTGCGGCCACCAGCGCGCGCGTCTGCGCGCGGCTAGCGGGCGCGGAGGCCCGCCGCAACATCTCCTCCAGCACACGGCGCTTGGCGCTGGGCTGGGGCGCCACCTGCAGGCCTCCGGGGCCCTGGTCCGGCTGTGTGTCGGGAAGCAGCAGCAGTCGCGGGTGCAGGCATCCCGCCGCCAGCACCGCGTCCAGGTCCGAGAGCACCCGCGTCGAGGCTGCCGCGGCCGCGGCGTCCATCGCCTCCTCGACCAGCGACGCCACTGGGCGCGAGCACAGCGCCGCCCGGCACCGGGAGTGGAGGTGGCTGGGCAGGCGCTCATCTGGACCCTGCATGCGCTCCAGCGCCAGCGCCGCCTGGCGCCGCAGCCACCACTGCACCCGCGCGGCGGCGTAGCGCGCGCGGCGCTGCAGGGGCGGCAGCACGACGCTCATCATGAGCTTCTTGGCCACCGTGTCTTCGAGGTGGGGGCTGCCGCTGGAGGACCCGTTCTGTGCCTGGCGGGGGCCCAAAGATACAGATGCCGTCACTGGACCTCTTCCGATGTGCATTCCGACCAAAATCCGCCGACCCCTTGGGGATCATCGGCGTGTGAGATGCTTTCCCCCTCCCCAAACCCCTCCCCCGGGAGCCTGGTCCGGTCGATGTGGAGGGGGGGGGGGGGGTCGACCACGAGCGCGCCACGGGGCTCTTTCGGCCCCAAGAGGGGCTACAGACCGCCCAGGAATGCCCCAAGAGGCCTCCAAGACCGCCCACGAGCGCTTCGAGACGCCAAACGAGCGCTCGGAGACGCCCAAGGTGGGCCCAAGACGGCCCCAGAGGCCTCCAAGACGGCCCAAGAGGTCCCCAAGAGGCATCTTGGGAGCGGCCCAAGAAGCCAAAATCGTTGATTTTCCATTCGTTTTTGAAGGATTTGGGCCTTCTCGCCCTTTCGGCTTTCCGACGCTCCAAGACGGCCCAAGAAGCTCCCAAGACCGCCCCAAGACGGCCCAAGAGTCCCCCAAGACGGCCCCAAGACGGCCAGAGAGGGCCCAAAGACGGCCCAGGAGCCGCCCCAGACGGCCCAAAAGGCCCCCAAGACGGGCCCAAGAGGGGGTGAAGAGGGGGACCAGAAACCGAAAATCCGAATCTTCCGCCCCAAGAGGCCTCCAGGAAGCCCCAAGAGGCCCCCAAGAAGCCGCAAAGAAGCCCCAACAACCCCCGAGAGGCCCACGATAGACCCCAAGAGACCCCAGAACGGCCCCCAAGAGACTTCAAGAGTGCTCCGAGAAGGCCCCTGACAGACATACCAGGACACCTTCAAGAGGCTCCAAAGACGGCTCCAAGAGGGGGGACAATGTACATCAAGGGGTCGGCGGTGTGGCGTAAGCCCAAGAATCTCGAGGAGAATCCGGCCGAGGCGAAGGGCTCTCTGGGGCGAGCAGCGGCATCGGCACTTCCTCCCCCCCTGAGATCCGACGTTACGAACACTTGCGACATCGTGACAAATCACGACCGGAGCCCTGGACTCCATCCTTCTGCGACATGTTTCGAGCTGGATCGATCTGTGCTGGCCTCTGGACTGGAGCCCAGGCGCCGCGTAGTGCTCGGCGACGCCAGGCTGCTGCCCTCCACCCCCACGCAACGCCCAGATATGAGGGTCTCGCCTGCGTCTGCGCCAGGCCGATGCAGGCCGCAGCCTGGCCGCCCGCGTGCGCGAGCAGCAACGCGACCTCGACCTCGGCCAGCAGGCGGCGCCACGCCGCGCCCGCGCCCAGGGCCTCGCCGGCGCAGGGCGCTCCAGCGGCCTCCTCCACGAAGGCGGCGTACCTCGAGGAAGACAAGACCGGCACACGGCCGTGGTGCCACCATAGGGGGGGCGCCAAAGGAAGGAACGAAGGGGCTCGTCTGGCCACGGCGAGGCTCGGCCACGAATAGGTTCCCCGACCCAAGCCGAAGGAGCGGCCCGAAGACAAGTTTTCGGGCCGCTCCTTCGATTTCGGTTGGGCGCGTCTGAGCCGCTTGATGGCACTTCTGAGCCACCCGTTGGGAGTCGCTTTCTTCCTCGGAGATCCTACGACAGGGCGGTATTCTTTCTGAAGTTTAAAACTCATCTGTCCACTGGGCCCGAACCCATCCTGAGCTCCAAGTGGTCCCTCTTTCGGCGCCTTGACTGAAACAAACCATACAGGGAGTAAAAGAAACAAGAAATTTCAAACACAAGGAACTTCAAATTCTAGGTTGTCGCGTATATATCCCAGCTCCGAGGCGCGGCAGAAAACAAAACGAATACTTTTAAAACATGCTATAAAAGGCGAAGCGACGCGGCATGAAACAAAACAAGGTTTTTGCTAGCAGGATGAAGCACCAAGAAATGCTGTGGATGCGCTCGGCATCGCGCTACTAATTTTGCAAGGGATTACCGCCGGTGGTTGTGCTGGCGGTTTTGCTGGTGGTTGGTCTGGTGGTTGCGCTGCTGGTGGTTGTGCTCGTGAATGCGCTGATGGTTGTGCTGCTGTCTTGTCCTGATGGTTGTTGTGCTTCTGGTTGTGCTGGTGGTGGTTGTGCTGGCGGTCACGCTGGTGTCTTTGCGGGTGGTTGTGCTGGTGGCTGCGCTGGTGGTGGTTGTGCCAGTGGTGATGCTGGTGCGCATGCTGGTGGTTGCTGGTGGTTGTGCTGGTGGTTGTGCTGGTGGTTGTGCGGGTGGTTGCGCGGGTGGTTGTGCGAGTCGTAATGCTGGTGGTTGTGCTGGTGGTTGTGCCTGTGGTTGTGCTGGTGGTTGCGCTGGTGATTGCGCTGGTGGTGATTGTGTTGGTGGTTGCGCTGGCGCTTGTGCTTGTGGTTATGCTGGCAGTCGTGCTGGTGGTTGCGCTGGCAGTCGTGCTGGTGGTTGTGCTGGTGGTTGTGCTGGTGATCTTGCTGGTGGTTGCTGGTTGTCGTGCGGGTGGTTGTGCTTGTGGTTGCGCTGGTGGTGGTTGGGCTGGTGGTTGCACTGGTGATTACGCTGGTGGTGATTGTGTTGGTGGTTGCGCTGGCGCTTGTGCTTGTGGTTATGCTGGCAGTCGTGCTGGTGGTTGCGCTGGTGGTTGTGCTGGTGGTTGTGCTGGTGGTTGTGCTGGTGCCTGTGCTGGTGGTCGTGCGGGTGGTTGTGCCGGTGGTTGTGCAGGTGGTTGTGCTGGTGGTTGTGCTGGTGATTGTGCCTGTGGTGGTTGTGCGGGTGGTTGTGCTGGTGGTTGTGTTGGTGGTTATGCTGGTGGTCGTGCTGGTGGTTGTGCGAGTGGTTGTGCGAGTGGTTGTGCTGGTGGTTGTGCTGGTGGCTGTGCCTGTGGTTGTGCTGATCGTGCGGGTGGTCGCGCCGGTGGTGGTGCTGGTGGTTCTGATGGTGGTTGTTGTGCGGTTGGTTGTGCGAGTGGTTGTGCTAATGCTTGTGCTGGTGGTCGTGCGGATGGTTGTGCAGATGATGGTGCTGGTGGTTGTGCTGGCAGTCGTGCTGGTGGTTGCGCGGGTGGGTGTGCGGGTGGTCGTGCTGGTGGCTGTGCGGGTGGTTGTTCTGGTGGTGGTGCGGGTGGTTGTGCGGGGGGTTGTGCTGACGGTATTTGTGCAGATGGTTGTTCGGTTGGTTGTGCTGGCGGTCGTGCTAGTGGTCGTGCTAGTGGTTGTGCTGGTGGTTGTGATTGTCTAGTACTGGTGATTATGCTGGTGGTGATTGTGCGAGTGGTTGTGCGGGTGGTTGTGCTGGTGATTCTGCTGGTGGTTGTCGTGTTTGTTGTGCTGGCAGTTGAGCTGGTGGTTGTGCGCGTGGTTGCGCTGGTGGTTGTGCTGGTGGTCGTGATGGTGGTCATGCTGTGGTAGTGCGGGTGGTTGAACTGGTGGTTGTGTGGTGGTGGTGCTGGTGGTTGCGGGTGGTTATGTGGTGGTGGTGCTGGTGGTCGTCGCCGTCGTCGTCTTGAGGAGGATCTGGAGGAAGATCACGGGGGAGATCGAGAGGAAGATGTGCGGCGCCAAGCGAAACACTGCGACGCCGAAACAAATAAAGGCGCCGATTGGTGGTGGTGGTGGTGGTGGTTGTGCTGGCGGTGGTGGTGAGGGGGGTCCTGGCGGTGGTGGTCCCAGTGGTTGTGCTGGCGGTGTTTGTGCTGGTGATGGTTGTGCTGGTGGTTGTGCGGGTGGTCGTGCTGGTGGCTGTGCTGGAGGGGTGTGCTGGTGGATGTGGGGCTGGCGATTGTGCGGAAACCTGTGTTGCTGGTTGTGCTGGTCTTCGTGCGAGTGGTTGTGCTGGTGGTTGTGCTGGTGGCTGTGCCTGTGGTTGTGCTGATCGTGCGGGTGGTCGCGCCGGTGGTGGTGCTGGTGGTTCTGATGGTGGTGGTTGTGCGGTTGGCTGTGCGAGTGGTTGTACTAATGCTTGTGCTGGTGGTCGTGCGGATGGTTGTGCAGATGATGGTGCTGGTGGTTGTGCTGGCAGTCGTGCTGGTGGTTGCGCGGGTGGGTGTGCGGGTGGTCGTGCTGGTGGCTGTGCGGGTGGTTGTTCTGGTGGTGGTGCGGGTGGTTGTGCGGGGGGTTGTGCTGACGGTATTTGTGCAGATGGTTGTTCGGTTGGTTGTGCTGGCGGTCGTGCTAGTGGTCGTGCTGGTGGTTGTGCTGGTGGTTGTGATTGTCTAGTACTGGTGATTATGCTGGTGGTGATTGTGCGAGTGGTTGTGCGGGTGGTTGTGCTGGTGATTCTGCTGGTGGTTGTCGTGGTTGTTGTGCTGGCAGTTGAGCTGGTGGTTGTGCGCGTGGTTGCGCTGGTGGTTGTGCTGGTGGTCGTGATGGTGGTCATGCTAGTGGTAGTGCGGGTGGTTGAACTGGTGGTTGTGTGGTGGTGGTGCTGGTGGTTGCGGGTGGTTATGTGGTGGTGGTGCTGGTGGTCGTCGCCGTCGTCGTCTTGAGGAGGATCTGGAGGAAGATCACGGGGGAGATCGAGAGGAAGATGTGCGGCGCCAAGCGAAACACTGCGACGCCGAAACAAATAAAGGCGCCGAATGGTGGTGGTGGTGGTGGTGGTTGTGCTGGCGGTGGTGGTGAGGGGGGTCCTGGCGGTGGTGGTCCCAGTGGTTGTGCTGGCGGTGTTTGTGCTGGTGATGGTTGTGCTGGTGATTGTGCGGGTGGTCGTGCTGGTGGCTGTGCTGGAGGGGTGTGCTGGTGGATGTGGGGCTGGCGATTGTGCGGAAACCTGTGTTGCTGGTTATGCTGGTCTTCGTGCGAGTGGTTGTGCTGGTGGTTGTGCTGGTGGCTCTGCGGGTGGTTGTGCTGGTGGTAGTTGCGCGGATGGTTGTGCTGGTGCTCGTGCGAACGGTTGTGCTGGTGTTCGTGCGGGTGGTTGTGCTGATGGTTGTGCTGGTGGTAGTTGCGCGGGTGGTTGTGCTGGTGGTTGTGTTGGTCGGCGTGTGGGTTGTGCGCTCGGTCCTGCTGGTGGTTGTGCCTGTGGTTGCGCTGGTGGTTGTGCTGGTGGTCGTGCTGGTGGTTGTGCTGGTGGTTGTAGAGTGGTTGCGCTTGTGGTTGTGCTGGTGGATGTGCTGGTATTCGTGCGAGTGGTTGTGCTGGTGGCTCTGCGGGTAGTTGTGCTGGTGGTAGTTGCGCGGATGGTTGTGCTGGTGGTTTGCGGGTGGCCGTGAGAGTGGTTGTGCGGGTGGTTGTGCGGGTGGTTGTGCTGGTGGTGGTTGTGCTGGCTGCTTTGCTAGTGGTTGTGCTGGTGGTTGTGCTTGGTGTTGTGCTGGTGGTTGTGCGGGTGGTTGTGCTGTTGGTTGTGCCTGTGGTGATTGCGCTTCTGGTGGTTGTGCGGATGGTTGTGCTGGGAAGTTTTGCTTGCTGTTGTTTGGTTGACGATTGTGCGGGTGGTTGTGCTGGTGGTTGTGCTGGTGGTGGCTGTGCGAGTGACCGTGCTGGTGGTTGCGCTGGTGGTTGTGCTGGTGGTTGTGCTGGTGGTTGTGCTGTGTGTTGTGCTGGTGGTTGTGCTTGTGGTGGTTGTGCTGGTGGTTGTGCTGGTGGTCCTGCTGGTGGTTGTGCTGGTATTTGTCGGGCTGGCTATTGTGCGGGTGGATGTGCTGGTAGTTGTGCTGGTGGTGGCTGTGCGGGTTGTCGTGCTGGTGGTTGTGCTGTGCGAAAAAAGTATACAAGTGTTTGTGCGGGAGGTTGTCCTGGTGGTTGTGCTGGTGGTTGTGCTCGATGTTTTGCTACTGGTGGCTGGTTTGCTGGTGGTCGTGCGGGTGGTTGTGTTGGTGGTAGTGCTGATGGCAGTCGTGCTGGTGGTTGCCCTGGTGTTTGTGCTGGTGTTCCAGCATGTAGCTGTGCTGGTGGCCGCACGAGCGATCACCGCCAACACAGCCTGCCATCACAACCGCCAGCCCAACAACCACCAGCACAACCCTCCAGCACAACCACCACCAGCAAAAGAACCACCAAGAAAACCACACCCAAGCAAAAACAAACACAGCGCAACCACCATCGAAACCACCAGCGCGACGACCATCGCAACTACCAGCACAACCAATAGCACGACTATCCGCACAACCACCCGCACAACCACCATCACAACCACCAGCACGAACACCAGCACAATCACCGACGCAACCACCAGCAGCAAAACATCGAGCACAACCACCAACACAACCACCTACACAACCTTCAGCACAACCACCGACGCAACCACCAGCAGCAAAACATCGAGCACAACCACCAGCACAACCATCAACACAACCACCAGCACAACCACCAGCACAACCACCAACACAACCACCAGCACAATCACCAGCACAACCATCATCGCAACCGCCGGCACAACCACCAGCACAACCGCCAGCACACCAGCACGACCACCCGCACAACCACCAGAAAAATCACCAACACTACCGCCAGCACCGACAACGGCGCAACCACCACCGCGACCACCCGCACAACCGTCAGCACAACCACCAACGCAACCACCGCCGCAACCACCCGCACAACAGCCAGCACAGCCACCAGCACAACCACCAGCAAAACCACCAGCCAAACCACCAGCGCAATCACAAGCGCAACCACCAGCACGGTCACCCGCACAACCACCACCAACACAACCACCCGCACAACCACCCGCACAACCACCAACACAACCACCAGCACAACCACCAGCACAACCAACAACACCACGATGTCATACACATCGTCAGTTTTCCGTGTTTATTACAAACAAGTTTTTGAGTAGGACTCACGTGACGGTCCCATGGCATGAAACAAAACAAGGAATTCTTAAAACATTATTTAAACGTAGGTCCGCGAGGCTGAGGCTGGGCATGCCGTCCTAGTTTTTTGGAACTCCCTGCAAACTGTTGGAGAACATAACAGATTTCTTGGATCGGCGCTGGGCCCCACTGGTGGCGCCTCCGGCGCCGCCCCTGGCGCGCTCCGCGTGCCAGGGAGAGAGTTCCAGCGCCGATCCAAGAGATCCGCGCGGACCTCCGAAAACGTATGCGCGCTTGGCTCTTCCTCTGCGGGCCCCTCCGAGCTGCCGCCGAAGCCCGCCCAGAGCTCCGAGGCGGCCTCCGCCAGGCCCGGGTCGGCGAGCGGCCCCCCGCGGCACGCGCCCGAGGCCGCATCGGACGCGAACTGCTGGAGCTCGTCCTTCCGAGGGCGAGCGACAGGGGGGGGGCTCGGGGGGGGAGCATCGAGATGGACTCGGCGGCACCTCGCCGACGGATCATCGATGGGCTCCCAGCAGCAAAAGCGCACGCTCCTGGGCGGGGTGGGCCACCGGGTCCCTCTCGGCGATGAATGGGCGGTGGTCATGGTCGATGCGCTCTCCCGTTGCCACTTTGTTTTCGGGTCATTGCTCGGCTCTCTAGCGGCGGATCGGGACGACCCGGGCGCCCCTGGAACGCTTTCGGCAAGGCGCAGCTGCTGGAGAGCACCCCGAGGCTGGAAAACCGCCGAGAACCAGAGAAAAGGTAAGATAACCTTGAACCTCGAGCCTATCCTCGCCTCGCGAGCCTCCACCCTGAGCCTCCCCCCCCTTCATGCTGCCCCTGACCTTCAAGGTCAGCGCCCTCGTAGCGGCAGCCGCCCCCAGCTCGGTCTGCATCCGCTGAACGGCGGGCCCCGCCGCGGAGCATACGGTGCGGGCGTCGTCGAGCACGCCCTCGGGGTCCACCTGTCGGCTACACGCAGGAGTGGCTCTAGGCCCGAGGCAAGGGCGACCTCTGGTGCGCGGTTTCAGGGGGCCGCGGGGGGGCCCAATCCCCACGCGCCAGCCAGTTGGGGTAGGGCGACGGGATTAATACATGTCCACTGCCCCTGGCCAAGCCCGTCCTGGGCACAGGAGCGGTCTGTACCCCCTCCTTGCTTGGTCATGGAGGCGCACCGCTTCTGCGCCCAGGATAGGCCTGGCAGGGGGCAGTAAGCACTGGATATGTATAGTTCTCGTCGCCCGATGGGGAGACCCCCATGGGCCTACACCAGAAGTCGCTCTGGCGAAGGCATACCTTCAACGGTTTTCGAGTGAATTCAAAAGTTGTTTTTCAATTCGTTCACACAGCGGTTAATTTCTACTTGCTGTTAGAAGCTGCCTGTATAAGTCCGCAACAGAGGCTACCCCGGCGGAAGGCCACTCCCTTACGGTCGGGAACTTTTGCTTAACGTGTCGCCGCGGCGGCCCCTGCGACACACTATGCCTTGCAAGCGGATAGCGTGTCGCTCCGCTCCGCGGGGCGGAAGGCTAGGACAAGCTCGGGACGCTGACGCCTCGGGACCGCGACGTGGACAACGTGGCGCGCCGAAGCCTGGTGGGCCAGAACCGGCGGAACGATATTTTCTTCCGTCGCGGCGCGGCAGAGGCAATCCGCTCGCGCGTCAGGGCGACACCGGGACACGGAGTCGCGAAGTAGCCCGCATGCCAGAGGGGAGGGAGGGGGCGAGAGGGCGGCCGCGGAGAGGGGGCCGGAGCCCGGGGGCACTCTCACGCAGCGAAGCCGCGGGGGGCGCGCGGGAGCGGCCGGGCTGACGGGCAGCCCCTGGCAGCAATCGCGGGGCGGCGACACGACGCACCCACGGGCGGGGCCAGCAGCCGCAGCACGGGCGCAGCCCAGCGAGCAAGTGGAGGAGGGGAAGCGGGAGGCTGCCGGAAAACCGAAGCGCCAGGCGGGGTGAGGCAGTGGCGTGGCACTCGCGGCCTCTGGGCCTGCGGTGTTCTTCGAAGGCGGAGCGAAGCGCTATCCAAAAGTTACCGACCGCGACGTGCAGCCGAGAACCTGCTGCGCCCGCGCCTCAAACGCCCACGCCTCGGACTCCAGCTGGCCCGCCAGGGCGTCCAGGCGCGGAAGCCACTGCGGCGCCCGCGCGCGCAGCCACCTCTACGAACGACGACGACGACGACGACGACGACGACGACGACGACGGCGACGGCGACGGCGACGACGACGACGACGACGACGGCGGCGACGACGACGACGACGAGGAGGTGCGCCGACGGCA